TATCGGCTTGGACTCCTTGTACGGCTGGTTGCCGGGGCCCAGCCGCGTCCTGTCCACCACGAGCCGCCGCGTGGCGCCCTCCGTGAGCTCCGCCCGGGTGCACTTCACCTCCACAACGACCGGCTCCTCCTGCTCCTTGTCAGAAAGCGAAGGCGCGTGGCCCTCCAGGTCCTCTCGGTGGCGACCACGACGACCACGACGACGACGACGACGACGACGACGACGACGACGACGACGACGACGACGACGACGACGACGACGACGACGACGGCGGCGGCGGCGGCGGCGACGACGACGACGGCGGCGACGACGACGACGACGACGGCGACGAGAGGGGCAGCAGCCGCCCGGTACTCGAGACCCGTGCCGCGCCGCATCGTCTGGGGCGGTGAGAAGGAGAAAGCCTCCTCAGAAGGCGGCTGGGCTTCTCAGAAGCCCATCATGCCTTCTGAGAGGTGTTCCGTGACTTCGGGGAGGGCTTAGGAAACTTCTCCGAAGGCTTGGGGGCTTCCGAGCCTTCTGAGAAGGCCCGCCCCTTCTCGCTTCCCCCCCGGGCCCGCCGCCGATCCTCGGAGGGGGAGACCACAACGCATCACACAACAGCGTACGGAGGTCCGCGCGGACCCCGAGAGCTGGTGTCCGTGGCCCGTTTCCTGCCTCGAGTCCTGCTCGTACGCCGCGGCGAGCGGGTTCGCCTCCGCGAAGAAGCCCGCGAACAGGGAGAACGGGTCCCCCGCGTACTGGTAGGGCTCCGCGGCGGAGCCGACAGGCGGGAACTTCAGCCCGCTCTCGCCGAGCTCGTCGTAGCGCCTGCGGCGGGGTGGGTCGATCAGCACGTCGTACGCCTCCGCGATGTCCCGGAAGCGCTGCTCCGCCTCCACCTTCGCGGAGGGGTTCCTCTGCGGGTGCCACTTCATGGCGGCCCGCCGATACCCCTCGCGGATGGCCACCGCGTCCGCGGTGCGCTCCACGCCCAGGGCGCCGTAGTAGTCGCGCCCCATCGCGGCCGAGCGCGCGACGGCACGGGAGGGTGGAGGCAGAGCGGGGGGGCACGGGATCGACGAGGGGGCTCCGCAACGGCGGGAGCCCAGCTGGAGCCAAAATGGCTGGTGGGCCACGGCGGCAGCGGCGGCAGAGGGCAGCGGCAGAGGGGGGAGGCAGCGCGAGGAGAACGCGCGAAAAGGTCTTGGCAGAGCGCTGCGTCGTTACCAGCCCAACCCACCTTCTTCAAATAGGTTGGCGGATGAGCTCCACCTCCCCAACAACAAAAACCGGTCTCCCTTCAGGGAGGGGGTTCCACTGCTCCTACCCACTCTCAGGGGTCAGGACTAAAGATCGCTGCTGGTTAGGAGCGTCCAAGATGGACTTCGACTGCGCCAACTTTGGGCAAAACGGCGACCATCCCCGGTGCAAAAAAAGCCAAGTCTGTCCGCATGGCCTCCAGCATAGCTCCTGGGGGGCTAGAAATAAACCCCAAAAATTGTATTGAGGTGGCTCCCGAAGCGGCCAAAGCAAATTGAAAGCGCTTCTAGAAATATCGCGTGCTCGCCTTTTGCTGTAAATGGGCCTCTCCAGATGGCCCCAATATCACCACGAGGGACCCCAAGAGGGAGCCAGGAAGTCCCTAAGAGGACATCAAACGCCCACAGAGAGCCCCAAGGAGGCCCCAGGAACTGCTTGTATGCTCCAAGAATGCAGGGATCAGTTGGACCGCCCTTTTTGTGGCCAGCGACCTCCGAGGTACACCCCACTCGATGCATGGCCTTGCGTGCGTGCGTGCGGCCTCCACCGAGAGACCTCCGTAGGGCCAAATGCCTAACAATACCGAATAACCAACGCTTCCGCTCCCAAAGGGGAGGGCAGCTGAGGGACGAAGGGAACAGAGGAAGAAGAGAGGCAGGGAGAACGAGGAGGAAGCGGAGGAGGGGCTGATGTGAAAAGGAAGCGAGTGGTGGACCAGAGGCGAGAATGGACTGCCCCTGGTTGCCGCAGCTGTTCTGGGAGAGCTCCTGTGCCGTGATTGTTGAGATCTTCTTTGGTCCGACCGTGTCCCCCGACAGTCTGGAATGACCTTAGGAAGCCCGCAGCAATTCCGGCTCGGTCTGGCCCCCAGACTGCACTTGCGCTGAGTGACCCCTAATTTGGTTTTGAAAAAAACCTGCGCGCCGTGAAGTGGTGGCTCTCGCATTGGCGCCGCGCACACTCGTCTTAAAAGTTTGCAAAGAGTTTTCAGGATTCTCATGGCTAGCGTCCCAAAAGCGGCGTTCCGGCAAGATGTCGGAATGTCAGAACGCAACATCCACGTTGATTCGCAGTGCAGAAGTCTCGAGAATGCTGTTCTGCCAAGAGCCAGGGTTGTCAAGACGCAACATTAACGGTGATTCGCGGCAGGGAGATCCCAAGAATGAAAATCTGGCACAGTTCCGGATTTTGACTCGGTTGTCTTCCGACGGGGCACTCCCCTCGGCGGAAATGAACCCTTGTAGGGGCCTATGAAGAGAAAACTTGGAGGGAAGGTTTCTTGCAATATCGTTGATGCCTCTTGGGTCTAAGACGAGTCCTCCTCATCCTGATCCTCCACCCCCCCTCCTCCTCCTCCGCCTCCTCCTCCATTCCTTTTCCTTATGAATAGCTCCTCCTTGCCGCACCCGGAGGACGGTCGAAAGGGCGGGTTGGGCGTTTCGCCTAAGACAACCCCACCACTTGTGAACCTTCAAGTTGACGACAGTTTCACGGATGACAGGCGGTTGGTTTCCAACATGGGTCTCTCGCCTGAGCGCCGCGCACGCACGTCTTACAAAATGCAAGACCTTCACGTATTACGGCAGGTGGTTTTCAAAATGTTGCTCTCGCCTTAACGCCGCGTACTTTCGATTTACAAGGAGCAACGGCTTCACGGATAGAGGGCGGGTCGTTTTCAAAATGCGGCTCTCGCCTTGGCGCCGCGCACATTCGTCTTAGAAATGTGCAAGGGTGTCTAGGAATGGGGGCGGCTCCCTTTCAAAATGTGGTTCTCGCCTTAGCGCGAAGAACATTGGTTCTAAAAGTTCGCAGCTAAAGTTGCACGAACTATCCCTGCGAACGTACCAGAAAGGGTGTGTGGGACCGATTCATGGCTGTCAGGGCGCAACAGTTACGTTGATTCGCTGTGTTAAAGTCCCAGGAGTTGTGTTCTGGCACGATTCTGGATCGCCGAAACCTCACAAAAAAGCTAACTCGTGGAGCTGAAGTCCTGAGAACTGTGTTTGGGCACGTTTCAAGACTTGCACACGGTTCCCCCCCCCCCATCGGGGCAATTCCCTCAGCAGAAATAAACCCTTGTTGGTACCTCTGAAGAGGGAGCTTGGAGGGAGGGTGTACTCCAACATCGCTGATGAGTCTCAGGTTTACACTGGTCCTCCGCTTCATCCTCCTCCTCCGCCTCCGCCTCCTCCTCCTCCTCCACCACCGCCTCCTCCTCCTCTTGCTCCTGTTCCTTTTCCTCCTTGTCTTCCTGTTCCTCCTCCTCCTTGTCTTCCTCCTCATTTCCTCCTCCTCGTCCTCCCCCTCCGATTATTATGAGTAGCTGTAGTATAATTAATACTACTGGTGGTTTCATTGTTGTTGATGTCGTTAGTAGCTATAGTATACGCATTAGTAATATAAGTATGAATAGCAATCATGTACTTGAAATTGTATTCGCACGTTGAATAATAAGAGTGCGAATGATAGTATTACGAGTCGCATAATGAGTGGTAGTAGTACTAGTATTAGTGTGCGTAGCGTGATTATTAGTATTACTAATAGTATTCCTATGACTAATATCAAGTTTATGCTTGACATACATCTGATGGCATGAATGACAGGTGTACTATCATTATGAGCGTTACGTGCCGCATGGGTAGTATTACTTAATATTAGTATTCGTCTTGTAAATACGATTTGCAATGAGAATGGTACTGGTAGCATGCGCAGGTGTATGAGTATTGTTATTAGTGAGCTTATAAATAGCATTCGTAATAGTAGTGTTAGCATTGATGTGATGATTCAAATCAGTACTATGTTCAGTATGAGTAAAAGCGGTAGCACTGCTAATAGTATTGCTAGTATTCGTCGTAGGTGTGTGCACTGCTATTCGTAATAATAACAATAATATCATTCGGAGTATTAATAATATGCTGCTTCGTGTCGCTGTTGAAATCAGAACGCTTACATACAACGATGTGTCGAACTACTCTTATTCGTATTCGTGTGCATCCTCGTATGCGTATTCGTTTTCTTCTTACACTCAGTATGTTATATTATGGCTGCTATTGATACTTACTGCTTCTTGAAATATTAGTATTATGAGTATTGGCTGCATTATTAATAGTTACCGTAATCTTGTTGTTAGTAGTAGTCGAAGTAGTAGCAGTAGTAGTAGAAGAAGAAATAGTAGTAGTAGTAGTAGTAGTAGTAGTAGTAGTAGTAGTAGTAGTAGCAGTAGTAGTAGGAGGAGGAGGAGGAGGTAGTAGTAGTAGTAGTAGTAGTAATAGTAGTAGTAGTCGTAGTAGTAGTTGTAGTAGTAGTAGTTGTAATCGTAGTAGTAGTAGTAGTCGTCGTCGTCGTCGTCGTCGTCGTCGTCGTCGTCGTCGTCGTCGTCGTAATAGTAGTAGTAGTAGTAGTAGTAGTAGTAGTAGTAGTAGTAGTAGTAGTAGTAGTAGTAGTAGTAGTAGTAGTAGTAGTAGTGGTGGTAGTAGTAGTAGTAGTTGCAGTAGTAGTACTAGTACTAGAAGTAGTACTGTCATGATGAATATTCTTATTCTTATTTCTCCTCCTCCTCCTCCTCTTCCGCCTCCTCCTCCTCTTGCTCCTCCTCCTCCTCCTTTTCCTCCTCCTCCTTCTCCGCCTCCTCCTCCGCCTCCTTCTCCTCCTTCTCCTCCTCCTCCGCCTCTTCCTCATCCTCTCCTCCTCCGCCTCCTCGTCCTCCTCCTCCTCCTCCGCCTCCTCTGGCGAGGGGGAGCTCCACCCTCCGCGGCGACCGCCAGCGCTCGCCGGGCCCAGGGCCACGCCGGGGCCGCGGCGGGCGCGGACCTGAGCGCGGCGGCGGGGGCTGGAGCGGACAGGGGAGGGCGCGGGGCCAGACAGCAGGGAGCAGGGCGCGGGAAGTCGGATCGGTTGGCGCCGCGCACAAGGGGGTATGGGGGAGGGGGGGTACGGCTTTGAAAAGGAGGCCGCTTCTTAGAAGGCGCGGCCTTACATCTACAGGCAAGGCCCGCGCCTTCTAATAAGCAGAGGTGCTTCCAAGGAGCCTTCCCCCTTCCTTCATACCCCCCTCTGCGCGTGGCCGAATCGGATCGGAACGTGCGTCGAATCGGCGCGCATCGGCACTAAATCGATATCGAGAGTCGAATCGGCCGCGTCAGGACGTACAGTAGCACGATGCAAGCATCGGGTCGAATCGGATCATCGGAATGTCGGAATCGAATATGATCGGGCCAGCCGAAATCGGCATCGAATCGGATCGATCAGAGCGAATGGACCCTGGAGGGTGATGTCATGCTACGATCGGCTGTCCTGGAGCAACTTCGAACGGTCCGCGCGGAGCAGCAGGAGGACCTGCAAATCATGGAGCGCATCATGATCGCTACGGCCCCCTGTCCCATCCGAGAAGTGAGGAAATCAAAAGCTATCAACCGCTACTCCCTGGACCTCTCCCAGGGTGCGTTCCGACCGGGATTTCGAGGCGACTCCAGCGGTGGCGACGAGGGCCATTCAGACCTCCGGCGAGCTGAAGAAGCAGACTGGGCGGGCGCCCTCCTCTGGCCATCGCCGCTTTACTGTGGAAAATTGCCAACCTTTTCCTCTGGAACCCGGGGGTCGCCCCCCCCCCCCCCTCCGAAAATCCCCCCCCCCCCTGCTGGAACCCCTCCCCCCCCCCCTCTCCCCCGGCAAAACCCCCCCTCCCCTAACCCCTCCCCCCCCCCCCTCCCGCTTGAAAACCGGGGGGGGTCACTACCGGTTCGAACCCCTCCCCCCCCCCCCCTCCGGATCGGGAAAACCGGGGGGGGTCACTACCGGTTCGAACCCCTCCCCCCCCCCCCCCTTACCCTCCGGATCCGGAAAACCGGAGGGGGTCACTACCGGTTCGAACCCCCCCCCCCTACTCACCGCCAGCAAACGACTCCCGGTCCCCACCACCGTCCGCATCACATCCCCCACTGGTGTTCCCAGCACCACTGTCCTCACCACCGCTGTCCCCACTGGTTCCACCACCGCCCCTACTGTCCCCACCAGTGCCCCCACCACTGTCGCACTGTCCCCGCTGTCCCCAGAACTGTTCCCACCACGGTTCCACTCTCCCCACTGTCTCCACGGCCCCAACCACTGCCCGACTATCCCCACTGTCCCCACTGTCCCACTGACTCCTCCGCTGTCCCACTGAGCTGTCCCACTGTTCCCACCACTGTCCCCACTGTCCCCACCACTGTCCCCACTGTACCTCTGTCCCATTGTCCCACCGCCGTCCTCGCCACCGCCTTCACCACTGTCCCCACCACCATTGTACCCTCCACTGTCCCACTGTTTCCACCTCATTCCCATTGTCCCCACACCACTGTCCCCACCACCACCGTCACCACCACTGTCCACTGTCCCCCCCTGTTCCCACCATTGTCCCCACCACTGTCCCCACCACTACCGTCCCCACCACTGTCCCACTGTCCCACTGTCCCCACCACTGTCCCGCTATCCCCTCACCACTGTCCCCACCAACACCGTCCCCACCACTGTCCGCACCCCCACTCGGTTTTCGAGGGGGGGGGGGGTTCGAACCGGTAGTGACCCCCCCCCCTTTTCATGATGAACTGGGGGGGGGGGAGGGGTTCGAACCGGTAGTGACCCCCCCCGGTTTTCCGGGGGGGGGGGGGGAGGGGGAGGGCTTCGAACCGGTAGTGACCCCCCCCGGTTTTCCGCCAGCAGCGGTAGAACACGCTCTTTCGAATGTCGGAATCGAATATGATCGGGCCAGCCGAAATCGGCATCGAATCGGATCGATCAGAGCGAATGGACCCTGGAGGGTGATGTCATGCTACGATCGGCTGTCCTGGAACAACTTCGAGCGGTCCGCGCGGAGCAGCAGGAGGACCTGCAAATCCTGGAGCGCATCATGATCGCTACGGCCCCCTGTCCCATCCGAGAAGTGAGGAAATCAAAAGCTATCAACCGCTACTCCCTGGACCTCTCCCAGGGTGCGTTCCGACCGGGATTTCGAGGCGACTCCAGCGGTGGCGACGAGGGCCATTCAGACCTCCGGCGAGCTGCAGAAGCAGACTGGGCGGGCGCCCTCCTCTGGCCATTGCTCGGACGTCCACTCCCCGTGCGATTGTCGGTTTTCTGCGTGCCTCTGTGCCGCAAGATGATCCAAGATGCTCTTCGACCGCCGTCGCCGAGGGAAACAAGCACACGACCGAGCGATGCCAAGCTTCTCTGCCACCGCGGCCTCGGGCTCTATGGGCCGTCCTCGGGCTCCCCCTGGAGCTGCCAGGACGCCTGGCCCGCGGCGAGGAAAGGGAACATTTTGGAGGCCTGGAAATTAACACCAACACCAACACAGGGGGGTGCCTCCACGGGGGGAAGGTGATCTTGGATTTCGGTGCTGGTGGTAATCTTTCGGCCACCCTGGAAGCCAGAATATTACCACCATCACCGAGATCGGGATCTTGCTCCCTCGGTGGAGGCACACCGCCGATTTTGGTGCTGGTGTCAATCTCTAGGCCTGCGAACATCATAATACCCCCGGGGGTGGTGCCGAGGGCTGCGGGGGGACCGCGTGAGCAACGATCAAAAACTGGTCTTGCGCGGGATGGCACAGCAGCCTTACGCCGCAGCTCACGCGGGCCGCCGGCGCGGCACGCCACGTTGGAGACGAGGGCGCCTGCGCACGACGTGCCGCTTCCGCGGGGCGGCGAAGCCGCAGGCGCACGCGGGGGGGGGGTAGGGGAGGAGGAGGGGGGGAGGCCAAGCCAGGCGAGAGGCAGTAGAGGGGAGAGGGCAACGGAAGAGGAGGGAGAGGAGGGAGAGGAGGAAGAGGAGGGGAGCGAGGAGGAGGAGGAGGCCGAGGAAGTCGATGTCGTGTTCCTCTGGCGAACGACGACGGCGCCAGCTGTCAGCGCCGAGGAGGCCAGAAAGGAGAGCCGGGAAAATCAGGCCAAGGCTGCGACCGAAAGGAAGGACGGCGACGGCGGAAGCGACGACGACGACGACGACGACCAGCGTCGACGGCGACAGGCGAAGGCGACGCCGGCAGCGGCGGCCATGGAAACGAGGACGGCGACGGCGACGGCGGCGGCGGCGGCCAGCACACCGAGCCGCGGGCAGCTGGAAGGCCAAGAAGCCCATGCCGCAAACGAGGACGCCGTAGTACGGCCGGCCCCCGCCGATGGAGGCGACGGCGGGCGGGCCGAAGACTGCCGACGACGACGATGTCGTCGACGACGTCGCCGTTGTCGTCGCCGAACGTTAGATTGCTGGACATTTCTGAAAGTTCGCATCGCCGCGGGCGGGCGCAGCTCGAAGACCACGACGACGGCGACGACGGCGGCCACGATGAGACGACAACGAAGACGACGACGACCGCGACAACGACGGCGACGACGACTGCGGCGGCGGCGACGGCAGAGGCGGCGACGAATTGACTTGACACGGTCCTGAAAGGCGACTTTCGGGTCCTGACCGAACTCGTTGCAACGTGCGACAAGACAGCGTGGCCGTGCACGCCACGTCTGCAGCACATGCACGGGTGTAAAATGAGGGTTTTCCGAAACCCAGCAAATCAAAATAGAAGCTCTGACGCTGGCAGGACTCGACGCAGAGATCACAACTCTTTGTCCCAACTATCCTGTGGTGTTGGGTCCTCGTTTTGAAGAGACGGTCCCCGCGATCTCTTCCTTCCTCCCTCCTCCCCCTCCCTCCTCCCTCCTCCTCCTCCTCCTCCTCCTCCTCCTCCTCCTCCTCCTCCTCCTCCTCCTCCTCCTCCTCCTCCTCCTCCTCCTCCTTCCCTGCGATTCACCCACCTAGTAGAACGCTTCGTGACCCCATTGGAAACTCCACCGAAGCCCTCAGAGCCACCGACCGCACGCGTCCCAGAACACCCAATTGAGCAATTTCACCCACCCAGTACAACGCTTCGTGGCCCCATCGGGAGCTCCACCGAAACGCCAGTGGGACCGCCCGCATGCGCCCCACACACCCAATTTGGCAAATCCACCCACCCAGTACAGCTTCGTGGCCACATTGGGAGCTCCACCGAAGCCCCCAGCGCCACCTTCCGCACGCGCCCCGAAACACCCAATTTGTCATTTTCACCAACCCAGCAAAGCGCTTCGTGGCCCCATAAGGAGCTCCACCGAAGCCCCCAGTGCCACCGATCCCATGCGTCCCACACACCCAATCTGGCACTTTCCCCAACCAGTACAGCGCTTCGTGACCCCATAGGGAGCCCCACCGAAGCCCCCAGTGCCACCGCATGCGTCCCACACACCAAATTTGGCAATTCCACCCACCCAGTACAGCGCTTCGTGGCCGCATAGGGAGCTCCACCGAAGCCCCCACTGCCACCACATGCGTCCAACACACCCAATTTGGCAAATCCACCCACCCAGTACAGCGCTGCGTGGCCCCATAGGGAGCTCCACCGAAGTCCCAGTGCAACCGTCCGCATGCGCCCGACACACCCAATTTGGCATTTGCCCCAACCCAGTACAGCGCTTCGTGGCCCCATAGGGAGCTCCACCGAAGCCCCCAGTGCCACCGCATGCGTCCCACACACCCAAGTTTGCAATCCCACCCGCCCAACACAGCGCTTCGTGGCCCCATGGGGAGCTCCACCAATGCACCCAGTGCCACCGTCCGCATGCGTCCCAGAACACCAAATTTGGCATTTTCACCCACCCAGTACAGCGCTTCGTGGCCCCATAGAAAACTCAACCTAAGCCCACAGCGCCATCGTCCGCATGCGCCCCAGAACACCAAATCTCGCAATTTCACCAACCCAGTACAGCGCTCCGTGGCCCCATAGGGAGCCCCACCGAAGCATCCAGTGCCACCGCCCGCATGCGCCCCCCCCCTAGCGCAGCGCGTCGTGGCCACATAGGGAGCTTCACCGAAGCCCCCAGCGGGACCGCTCACCCAATTTCATTTTCACCCACCAAGTACAGCGTTCCGTGGAACTCCACCGACGGCCCCAGTGCCACCACCCGCATGCCCACACACACACACACACACACACACACACACACACAGCGCAGCGCTTCGTGGCCCCTTGGGGAGCTTCACAAGAGAAGATATTCAAAATTGCGGTGCCCACAACTGCATATGGCTGGGCCCTTCGCCAAGATAATGTGCAGTGGAAGCGGGACGTCGGCAACCCAAGTCAACCCCAGACACACATTTACAGCGCCGTTTTCCATGTGGCACAAGATCTCCGCCCTCCTTTCGAAAATTAAACCAGCCCCATTCGCACTCCTTCCATGCGACGGGACCATCTGCGATCGAGCGCCACGCACCGCCGAACAAGTCAACAAACTGTTTCTCCAAGCACCGAACGTGGAAACTCCAATGATGGCCTCGCGGCCCCGTCTCACCCTCAAGACGGCGAAGGCACGTGCAATCCTTGTCCCTGGGCGCCTTATTAATAAAATTTGTCACTGCGTGGACCTCCCCATATGTGCATCTATTCGCATGGACCTGTCCACCGTAAGTGACTAGGCGCAAGAGTTTTCGAATATAAGCGGGGTTGAGTTGTGACGGTCTGGTCATGAATCTAACTGCGAATGAATTGGGGTGTGAATGAGCCTCAGTAGTACGAGCGCGTCTCTGTGCATGAGCCTGGGGCCTCCTGGGGCCTCCTGAAACCTACTGGGGTTTCCTGGGGGCCCCACGAGCCTCTTGGGGCCTCCTGGGGCCTCCTGGGACCTCCTAAGGAGGATCCGTGCCCCAGGAGAGGCCCAATCTATAGGAGCAGACGTACAGAAAGCACTGCGGAATGGAGCCACAGGAGAATGGCAATCTACAGGAACACACGTAAAACACCAAGGACTCGTGCCCCAGGAGAGACCCACTACATAGGAACAGAAGTAAAACAATTAGGATTGCGTACGCAGGAGATGGACAATATATAGAAACATACGTATAACATTAAGGATTCGTGCTCCAAGTGAGGCCCAATCTATAGGAGCAGACGTAAACCACATTGGATTGGAGCCACTCCTGTTGCCTCCTGAGGCCTTTTGCTCCTGGGGCCTCTCGGGGCTTACTGTTGCCTTCCGAGGCCTCCTGGCGCTTCATGTGGCCTCCTGGGGCCTCATGTGGCTTCCCGAGGCCTCCTGGAGCTTCCTGGGGCCTCCTGGAGCCTCTTGGGACATCCTGTGGCCTCTTGAATCTTCCTGTCGCCTCCTGATGCCTCCTGGGACCTCCTGTGGCCTCCTGGAGCCTCGTGGAGCCTGCTGGAGCCTCGTGTGGCATCCTGGGGAGAATATGTGCCCACGAGTCTGGCAACCAAAACAGGCAAACCGATCGAGACATCCTCAAAATCTGGCCCCCCCCCCCAGGGGAGCGAAAATGAGGGCCTCGCTCGAGATGTCCTCCAAATCTGCTCCGAAAACAAAGAATGTTCACGACCAAAACAGGCAAACCGCTCGAGGCATCCATGCAATACCCCTGGCGGCCCCCCTTAGGAGTGCTAAAACCAGCAAATCACGCGAGACATCCTCAGCATCTGCTCATCGTCGTCATCATCATCATCATCATCATCATCATCATCATCATCATCATCATCATCATCATCATCATCATCATCATCATCATCATCATCATCATCATCATCATCATCATCATCATCATCATCATCATCATCATCATCATCATCATCATCATCATCAGCATCATCATCATCATCATCATCAGCATCATCATCATCATCATCATCATCATCATCAGCATCAGCATCATCATCATCATCATCATCATCATCATCATCATCATCATCATCATCATCATCATCAATCATCATCATCATCATCATCAGCAGCAGCAGCAGCAGCATCAGCATCAGCATCAGCATCAGCATCAGCATCAGCATCAGCATCAGCATCAGCATCAGCACCATCACCATCACCATCACCATCACCATCACCACCATCACCATCACCATCACCATCACCATCACCATCACCATCACCATCACCATCACCATCATCATCACCATCATCATCATCATCATCATCATCATACTCATACTCATGCGTCTTTCATCATCACCATCATACTCAAACCATACTCTCACCATACCAGGGTCATCATCATGACAATCATCATCATTGTCTAGTGGAGAGAGGGAGGAGGGGAGGGTGATATGGGTGGCCCGGAGCGGTCGGAGAACAAAAAGAATCCCATTCTCTGGACATGGGGAACAAAATGCGAAAACGCACGAATCACAGGCCCCCATCTTGGCGACATGGCCTGCTCGACGGCGACCCAACAACAAGCAGGCATCGCCCCGCAGCCGAGTTCCAGCAGTCCCCAGGAGTTCGAAGATAGTCTTCAGAACTCTAATCTCACACGAGCCCCAACGATTTAATCGGGCTGCGTCTTGACACAGGCATACGGCGGGCCACCCTCGGCGAAGCGCACCAAAACAGATTTAAAAATATATAAATATATGAATAAGAAAAGAAAGAAAGGACAAACAAAGAAACAAAAAAAACAAACAAAAAAAAACTAACAACAAAAAAACGCTGCCTATCGCGCGACCGAGGCCACATTCCGAAGCGTTTCGCGATCTTGGTCCTCGCGAAGGCAGCCCAAGCTCCAGCTACGCCCCCGGTCACCGCAGACGAGGCTCAACTATCAGATGTGACACGCGAAACCCCCCCCCCCCATGCGCCCCGCACCCCCCCCCTGCTCAAACGCAAGACGGCGGCCGAGCCCGCGGCCGCGGTGAGCCAGGGAAGGTCGGGCCCCGAAATGGCGCGGCCGCGCGTGCTCCTCGGCCAACTGTGCCAGGCACCCCGCGCGACGCGGCGCATCTGAGACGGCGCGGCCAGTAGATGCCAGTCATCCGCAAAGGCCAGCAACGGCGCCCGACAAATTGTCAAAGTCTTTCTCGCCCGTTTTCTCCGGTGGCCCAACATTGTCAGGAACTCGGGCCTCCCAGGGCGCCCCCTACCATATTTCTCGCGAGTATCTTCGAGATCCGCGACGAGATCGCCCAAGAATGCCAAAAAAATCCTCGGCGCCACGGGGCCCCCGCTCACGGTCGCGAACAACGCGCGCGCGTCGGACGCGGCCGCGCGACTCGCGCAAGCCCCCGACCTCGAAGTAGAGGGGCTCACGCCATTCCACGGCGCGTTCAACTAGAATCCGCGCGGTTGCCACTGGCTCGCGAACCCGATACCCCCGTCGAAAAGCA